AAAGTGTTGTTAATTTTATTTTAGGTATAGTGGTTCTTTTTTAAAGCCTTCCTATATGTTAAGGATACATACTGAAGTATTTACACATGAAATGCTGTGATATATGACCTGTTTCTACATAAGCCAGTGGAAGAGGAAGAAAAAAGTGGGAGAAAGAAGAGAGGCCATGAATTGATAACTGTTGAAACTGGGTCTGGGATACATGAGGGTGCAATATACCATTCCCTCTACTTCTGTCTCAAAAATTACCTTAATAAAAAGCTTTGAACACAATAAACTTGCTCATCTGATCGGATTCGGCAGAGTCCTGACAGGACAAACTAAGTAGGCAGCTTGCCGGCATGTGAGGACTTACCGTTCTATATTCACCTCATTGCCTTGGTCTCTAGTGTGGAAGATCATTGTATATTTACCCACTTCAGGCATTGGCCGGATGATTTTCATTCTATGAAGCTCAACCCTAGAAAAACAGCAGAGGTGTTTGGTTTTTTTGGTGTTTTTTTTTTTAATATTCCATCACTCTTACCTAACACTAGGCACTTTAAAAGAATCATTTGCAAAAGTTTACACACATGTGCATAAAGAGAATCACACGTAGCTTGATTATGTAGATATTAACAAAAAAGTATTTTCTTATAATGTTATAACTGCTTCAGGCAGTTAAGTCCATAAAAGAATCAGATTTTAACATTTACTTTTGGAGTACAAAGGAGATGTGTCAATTTATAGTTTGCCATTTTCCAAAAACAACTGAGAAAGTCATATTTTTAAAACATCATGACAAAGAGGAGAATTAAGTCTCTTAAGATTCTTAATTTACTTAGTATTTCCTTCTTTTAACAAAGAACATAATGATCATTTAAGGTCACAGATTTAAAGCCCACAAACCTAGGTTCAAATTGAGACTTTGTTATTTACAAAGTTGTTCATTGTTCCAGGTCTTCGTTCCCATCTATAAATGCCAATGGTGTTATATAGAGTTGATCAGATGGGCTCAAATGAGATAATTCAATCTCATTTGCAATGTAATATAGAAATGCAAAGAAGGGTGGTGCCTGCTGCATTTATTACATAGTATTTAGTAAAGAAATCTCAACCAACTTGTGTTCAAATCATTTGGTTTATCCATAGCATTAGTCAAGAACTATGTTGTTCTTATCAAATGAAAACCCAACTTGGGGGTTCCCCTTGACCTTGAAGCTGAGGAGCAACAGGAAAAAAGACAGTGACAATACATGGATCAATGCAAAATTCTACTAACCATCCCATCTGGGCAGTGAAATGGATTTTGGGAAGATGATAGATATTGTTTACATCTAGCCTTTGCTACTCTTGCCCTGACATCCAGCAGACACCCTCCGGTCTACTTCATAAGCCACAGCCACACAAGCCAGTGCTGGGCTGGGCCATGAAGCATTGTTGCCCATCACTACAGCTATTCCTCTGGAGCCTCTGGTCAGGGAAATCCACTCCCTCCCCTGAGAAACATCCCAGAGACTCTCAGCCTGGACATGGGAACAAGACCAGCAGGGAGCCCTGACTTCCTTACATTGAAGCAAGGGAAAATTTCTGGCAGTCACACTAATTAATTCAGAACCCCAGGTGAGAACATTCCTTTTCAGAGAAAACAGCAGGAGGAAAGGGGAACTTCCTGATAGCCAGAAAGACCTTACTTTTAGAAATCTGAAGAGACTGGCCCCAGGCTCTTGAATAATTCCTTTCTGGGAGACAGGGATACCCATAACTTTCTAGCCATAAAACCCAAGTTCAGGGCAGGGAGCTGAGAGAAAAGGCCAGATATATTCCCTCTGAATACCTCAGAGCAGGGAACAGTCCAAGAGAGTCTGAGGGTAATGCCCACAGGCCAGAGTCCGACCGGGCGTCCGGCCAGCAGCTGCTCCCACAATGTGTGGGGCTGGCTAATGCATGACGAGTGCACATTCTGGTCTGCTTCAGGAGGTGCAGCTCATCCCAGGCTGTTGGCACTCCCTGCTCTGGGCACTGGGAACTGTGCCCAGGTCCCCTGTGGTCCAGTAGAAAGCATAGGTTTATAACAGGCCCTCTGGCCACTTTCTTCAAATTGTAGCTTTGCAGACACTCTGCAGTTTGGGACTTTTCATTCCCTTGTGAGACCCTTCTCAGTAAGCACTACCCACTGACAAGTCCACAGAGACCTCCATTAACGCTTCTGGACCCCAATCTACCATGATCCAGGAATAGGCCATCCTCCATCATTTCTAAACTGCCTGTGACAAAGAGCAATTTGGGCCAACCTGGGCTCCCTCTGCCCCGACACTCTTTACGCCCAAAATCTGTGGCCTTGTGACCTGCTGGGCTGGCATCTACCAGAACCATAAAACGTAGGTTTCCAGAACCACCACTGATAGCAGAGCCTGGTGAAGAGGACCTGTCTCTGTTGTTCACCTGAGTCTGAGGTCATCGTCTTCGCCTCCCCAGCCCCAGTAGTTGTTAGAGAATCCATTCACCTTGAAAAACTGCTCTCTGCTTAGGGCAGTAACACCCCCAAAATATCCGCTGTAACGTAACCTGGGGAAGAAGAGAGGAGAGAAAAGGTGCAAACATTAGCACAGACTTTTTGTTCTCCACAGACACTTGAGAAGTCTCCGATTCAGGACACTGGGGACATCTTGAAGACCATGTACTTCAGCCATCCACGCCTGCCTGGCTTCCACCTCCTAACGTGCCTGGCTTTCCCCGTCTGGCCTTCTCTCCTGAGTCTGGACAAGTGCTCACATCTGCTCACTAAGCAAGGTACCACCCACCTGTTATTGCTAATGTTTGTGTGCAGATGTCTACAGAGGTACCTGTAATTGTGCACCATTTGAGGGGAAGACAGAAAATTACGTTTTGGATAAGCTGAACTTGAGATTCCCCCTAGGCTTTTGCCCGTGGTCAAAAGGATACGGGTCCAAGCTCAGAAGAGAGGCGTGGCTACAGACACAGCCTTGGAAATAAGCTGTCAAGGGGCGGCGCGTGGAGGCCCAGGAGTAGAGAAATACACCGTCTGAGGACAATGTGGTAGGTGAGAAGAGGACAGAGGGTGGAGCCGTCGAGACACCAACAAGAAAAAGGGGAAAAAGAAGAGATCAAGAGGGACCGGGTCAGAGGGTACCTCCCAGTCACACAGGAGTCTAATGATTACTGGTGGACCTATTAGCAAATCTGAGGGGAAAAGATACCCCTGAAGATATCTGTAACAATTCAGAAATGCAAATGAAGGCAGCTTAATAACATGGATGCTACTAAATAAAAGGATGTGAATATATGGAGGATTTCTAACTTTAACTTCAGTCCAAAGTGTTCCAGGACCAGTGAAATAGTTCTGCTTTTCCAGAGAAGAAGAAAAACCCAAAGGAGAGATCAATAAACACACAGACACTTGCCATCTAACAGGTGGAGTCCCAAAAGCTAATTTGTAGTCCAGCTGTTTGTTTCTATGTTCTTAGGACAGATGGGAAGTACCCTGTTTAACCCATAATGGAAACAGAGTTCCTTATATACTCTCAACCTAACATTCTGGAAAATGGTATTATTATAACCTAAAACAAATAGAAGGCAGCTATTACTACCCAAGACGTCTACGCAGTGACCTGTTGCCACGGCTAGTGGACTCTGACTGGGAAGGGATTCTTAACTACCTGAAGAGCAACAGCTTCATCAAGCACACTGAGTAGAACCACTGCCCAGGCATATTCTGTCAAGCACCACTGAACGGTCACCAGGAGAGAGGCAGCACTGATGGTCTGGCCGTGATCTATTGAGTAACCACTATCCACCGGGAGCAAGACAGCTGGCTAAATGCTGGAACCCTGGGCCCTGCCCACCAAGACTTTATAGTCTAACAAGAGAGGTGAGTGTGATCAGGGTTCTGAAGATGGAGATGCCACCCATCAGAGGAGTCAAGTAGGTAGGAAAATGGGGGAACTCTTGGTGGTCACAAGCCCATGAGGGAAAGTAAAGAGGGAGAAAAGTGCAGGCTGTCTGAGGAGCACCTGGAGACCAGTGCAGCTGCACTGGGAAGTGCAGGAGACCAGTCAGAAAGAAAGGTTAAAGAACTGCTTCTCGGGCCGGCCGAGTGGCGCATTGGTTAAGGGCTGGCTTGGGACGCCAGCTCCGAACAGCAGGGCCCCGGTTTGGATCCCACATGAGGGCCAGCGACACTGCACCCTCTACAGCTAAGATGGTGAACAACAGTTCGACCTGGAGCTGAGCTGCCATGAGTCACCAGCGACGGCGTAGGCTGCAGCCCCTGCTGCAGTGGGTTGCCATGGGCTACCATGAGAGTGGCTGGCAGCCAGCATGAGAGAGGCCAGCAGCCGGCGTGAGCTGCCAAGAGCCACCGTGAGCGGCCGTCCAGAGGCCAGCAACCAATCTGCCTCACCCGGGAAGAGCGCAATGATAATACCAACATGGGCCAGTGAAGCAACGTCCTCCACAACTAGACTGAAGAACAAAAGGACAGCAACTTGTCTGTTCCCCTTCCCCTATTCCCCAATGCTGTTCCCTCCCCCAATTCCAATAAAATCTAAAAAAAAAAAAGGGAAAAAAAGCCATGCGTTTAGCTCAGAGTTTCTTGCAAAACTTGCAAAAGAGGGGACACATTCGATCAGCTGATTCACATTAAGAAAACCTGCCAGTTACTCAAGGAAGACAAAGGTTTTCTGATAGCTAGCCATAAAAATAAATGTGTGGCCAATTACAATAGCAAGTTAAAACAGCAAGATTCACACAGGGGCTGTTTTTAGAGTGAGTAGCCTCTGATGAAATCTACGATTGTGACACTGAAGTTTTACTCAAAATCAATTCCCAGCAGGAATGCCCAAGAACTGAGTTTAATACAAACATAAAATCTAGAATTAAAAAAAAAAACAAAAAACCTGTCCTTAAAACAGCCCTGTGTACCTGAACTCCAAAACAAAACAAAAACCTAAACCATGTGTGACTGTAACTTAGAGAGAACTGGTCAATGGGAAGTTATCACCTATGTCAAGGGTCTGAAGGACAGGTATCCTGTGCTGTAGACAGTGCTATCTTATTAATCCACAATAAGTGAATGGACCGTTTGACATGCTTCTGAAAATACTGAGGTGCCCAGCCATGACATGCTGCCTTCTTCAATGCAGAGGTGACCCAGAGACCTCCAGATAACGTGACTCAGATCCAAAGATCAAGTTCCCCAAAGGAAACACTGCTGAGATTCTCTTCCAGAACCTCCCCTGCTCTGAGGCCCCGCTGCCCCTGCCTCCTGGCATCTTTGCCCTCAGCTTGTTTTCCTCCCCATTCTCCCTTATTACCAAGTGTTTATGGTAGAATTTGCAAAGCTAAGTGCAAAATTAATGCAACTCCACCATAGCTGTCTCCCCACACCAGCACCCAACAGGGAGTTCCTTGAGGGCAGGCGCTGGGCCTTATTTAAATTGGTTTCACGGCTACCAGCACAGTAAGCACCACAGACATGAGCATGGCAGGCTGTCAGGTAAGTGTGCATGCGCACGCACACACACACACACACACACACACACACACACGAGTGAATCTAGTTTCTTTTGTAGAGAATTTTCTTGGTCACTGTTTCCCCCTTGGTTGTGCTTAAATAGGAGCCGGTATAAAATAAGCAGATATGCCCCTCCTGGGGGTCACAAGGCAGAAATGGCACTGCCCACAGGGGCTTTGAGAGAAAGGACTTTATGCTGGGTGTTCTGGCTCCTGGGCACTCTGTGGATGTGCCCCTCCCCACTCTCCCTCAGAACACTAGAAAGATGCCACAGTCTGGAAAAAAATGTCACCGTCTGGCAACAAAGGCCTAATAGGTTTGACATAAATAAGGGACACACTCTTACTGCCTCCTGGAGAGGGAAGTCAAGGACAGAGAGGGAAGTTACTTGAGTGCTCCACAGTGGGGGGCAGCCTGCAGAGGTTCCACTATGTGGGTGCTGCAGGTGAGTCTGCCCATCATTTGCAATGCCTGGATTATTTTCCCTCTCCTGTTCTGTCTTTTTTTTTTGTCTTTTTGATCTTCTGCCAAGGCCGTTGCGGGGCTTTTTCCTAGTAAGGAAAAAGCGAATTGCTCTAATTCCTGTTTTGAACTTTAAGTGATATGTCATATACTATTTTCCGTATTTCTCGTTTTCCTCAGACGCACTGTACGCTATGTCCCAGGGCAGGTTTCTCCACCTAATCCAGGAGCAGAGCCGCCTTACCTGTAGCCAGTGCTGTTCCTGCCAACAACCAGGTGCTTGGGCTGATCCTCACACTTGTAAAGGTTCAAGTCGTTCTCAGGCACCAGGTCCACATCGTGGAATATAAAGCAGTCCCAATTTTCATCCTTGAGAGCTTCTATATAGCCCACATTCAAGAGTTTGGCTCGATTAAACTTTTTACTTCCAGCCTACAGATAAGGAAATTACAAGTTGAAACGCTCCTGAGACAAGGTTTCACACTGTGCCCCTCCTTCAGCTCAGATGCCAGAGCTGGTATTACACAACTATGCTTGTGACATGAAGGTCTGGATAGGTAGATTCAATAACAATAAAATACTCTTTTTTTACGTTGCATACACATTTAAATTATATAACTTAAAAACGTAGCTTGAAATGGGGAGTTTTCATTTAATGGGTACAGAGTCTCAGTTTTGGAAGATAAAAAAGTTCTAGAGATTGGTTGTACAACAATGTGAATATACTTAACACTACTGAACCATATACTTAAAAATGGTTAAGATGGTGGGCCGGCCAAGTGGCTCAGTTGGTTAAGAGCTCGCTCAAGAGTTTGAGCTCTGAGCAACAGCGGTTCAATACCTGGCCCAAGCTGAGCTGCCACTGAGCTGCCAACAGGTGGCAGGATGACTCAGCTAAAAAAAAAAAAAAAAAGAAATGATTAAGATGGTAAATATTGTTATGTTATTTTATCACAATTTTTTAAAAACCCAGTTTTAAAATAAAAAGAACTCAAAGTAATTTTTAACATGCTTTATTTGTTCGATGTAAAACTACAAAACCTTTCTAACATACTAGTCATGCCAATATGTATCACTGCTTCACTGTTCAACTCTCAGCTCATCCCAATCTTATCCTATTGAACAAATTTACACTAAGCTTCCAAGAGATGTAGCTTGCCAGAGAGGATCAAGAATTCTTGACCTAAGGGCCGGTCGAGTGGCTCAGTTGGTTAAGAGCTCGCTCAAGAGTTTGAGCTCTGAGCAACAGCGGTTCAAGTCCAGGCCTGAGCTGAGCAGCCGCTGAGCTGCCAACAGGTGGCAGGACGGCTCAGCTAAAAAAATAAATAAATAAAATAAAATAAAAATTCTTGACCTATAAACAGAGAAGGTTATTGCTAATGTTTCTAAGCTACTTAAAAGTCTCTTGGAATCACTGTAACAGAATCCTGTTTTAACACTTAATGCTGAAAGCCTTACAAGATGGGACTCATCACTGAGGATGGAAAGAACACCATTCGACCAGTAATCAGACCAGAGCTGTATGAAAAAGATTTTACGGTATTCATTTTTTCATGGCTGTTTGGATCAATTTCCTTCAGAATAAATTCTAGATCAATAAATAGTTTATCATAACAAAAGTACAGGCAGTTCACAAAAGCTACCACAGTACTTTCCTGAAAAGAATAACACAAAGCAGACATATTTTTCTATTCATAAAAATATTCTACATTGGGAGTGGCTGTTCTGAGTAAGAACTCAGAATGACTAACAATATTAAAAACAAAAATAATTATAAAACAAATAATAATAGTAACTTTTGTTTCAAATACTAAAAAACAAAAAAAAAAGGGCAAGATATCTTATATATGCACATTGATCTTCAAGAGCCCCAGTTTACTGTAAACTATATACTGCAAAGCTGTAGCCTCTGATTTGTGAAAAATTTTCCTAAAACAAATATTACTGATTATAACCAATAGTAGGCATGTAATTAATGATTTTGCTTACATTTTTAGCATTTGTAAGGAAGTGAGGGGAAATTATTTGGATGGCCCAGAATAATTTGAAAATTATGGATATTTAAGTTGATGACTTCTTTTTCTCTCAATAAACATTAACACCAAATAAAGGCATCTTTAATCACCCACTCCACTTAGAAATAAACTCTTCAAAAGCAGCCCACACTTACAGTTACTGTGTTCCTACTAAATCATGCTTCTGGAAGCCAAACAAGTGAACCAAGAAAGGAAAAACTAAACAGGTTTTACAGAATAAATAGGGGCAAAGTTAAAGGCAGAATGGTGGAGACGGTCCTTGAACTCCATGGCGGTTAACACACAGTAGTCTGTCAGATTCTCTATCTAATGTAGATCCCCAATGAATAGCCATGCTCAATAACACAAAACAATTCCAGCATCTCATCGTGGAGTGCAAAGCAAACGCAGAGGTCAACATAGGTAAATCTCAGGGAAAAATCATCGGGCAGTCACTGGCTAACAAGGAAGGGCTCACAACAAAACAAGCTTCCTCCAGAGGTTCACTGAAGAGGCAGTAAAATCTCCCAGCACTTAGTCCCATTACTCCTCACGCCGGAACAAGAATTTCCTTTACTCCTTTCAAGGATAAACAAGGTAAGAGAGGTCTCATTTGACGATAGTTTGATGCTCCTTTTAACCAAAATAGACAAACAGCCACGCCCCTCAGAGAGGAGAGTCTGAAGGCAGAGCCCCGGTCCGCCCCACACTCACCTGGTGGATGGTGTAGATGCCATAGTCCAGCTGCTGTCTCTGCAAGAAGGGATGAAGGTGTTCTAGCAGGTACATCAGGTGTCTCTCTCTGTTTCGGTGTGGAATGAGGATGGCAACCCGCTGCAAAGCCTTACATTCCTCAGGGTGATACCGGCCTCTGTGCACTTTGGGATTTTCTGCCTGCACTTCTTCCAGTGTAAGATCTGGTTTGAAAATGAGCTTGTCCTGACCTCCTACAATTAAAACAGAACACAGGAAACCATAGTAGCTACCTCCTCAAGTGTTGATAGGCTTACAGGAGCCAGTACATGTAAAGCACATAGAACATCGCCTGGCACTCAGTGAGCACCATATGAGTGTTAGCTTTTATGATGGCTATTTTAAAGCCTCATTTGGTCATGAACTACAACCACAGAATCATGTGACTCAGATTACTGGCTACAAAAGCACGTAACTGACATAGAAGAGCATTCCCCTGTGTCTGGATAACCAACTCTGGCTGTGATTCACCCGTAAGTATGAAATGCATTCTGTCCCAATGACCCTGGTGAAGAGCAGAGGTCAGGGCTAGACGAACTTCAGATTTGCTCTATTCACTTTTCCCTCTCAAAATTCTAAAGGAAGGTGAAATCTCTCAAAAATCAAGGGCATTCCATGGAATCAAGCTCATGGGCAAGGCCCCTTTCCCACTCCTTCCAAGTTCTTAGCAGCTCTCCTAGCTCCCTGAAGGTAAAACGGCAGATGTAGAAACTAGCCTCGCTCTCTAACCCAGCATTAACAGGTATGCACAACAGGTATGTGCCACAGATACGCGCCAGAATTCTCCCAATGTGCCATGGTAGCAGACATCCCAGTAGAGCATTTGCTCAGCAAGTCTGAAACCCAAGAGGCATCCACAGTAACCAATCTCATGAAAGGCTCTAAAGATCAGGCTGAAGCCACAGACCCTCCTCTCTGATCGGAATTAATAGGGAATAGTGACTAAGAAGAGGAGGCAGACCTCTGGCTCGGGAACTGAGCCACACTTTTCTAAAACTCCATATACACTGATCAAGCTGTAAAATCTAAAGATGCTTGTACGTCGTGCTACCCTCTTCTGAGCAAAGCAGTCCCAGGCTCTGCCTGTGTATAAGTCACAGGGCCTTGCTCCATGTAACCATCCCCGACCCTGGCGATGGTGGCTGGGACCAGGTTCTAGTGTCCATGAGGTTGTTAAAAGACTCTGCCCAGCAGCACCAGAGGCAAATAACTGCTTCCGGCCATGTAGAGAGAACAATCGGCCTATAAGAAAGAGCCTTTCCTGGAGGGTCTGAATGCAAGACGGGGTCGGCCAAGCAGTTATGCCCTAGAAGCAAACAGTAAGACTAGAAGTTACAGGAAAGCAAGCTACTAGAGCTGGTGTCAGGCACAGGGCTGCTGGGAGATGGTGTGGCTGTTGAGATGGTTTCCTGTGTAGCCTGTTAACAAACGCCATCATCCAAGTTAACCTGTTCTTGGCCCCTGACAGAGCCTCATGCAACAAGTCTGATATAAATTAATCCTCTTGCTGCTCACTTTCTCATTGTCGTAACTTTTATGGGCCCTAACCCTCTAGTGCCTGCTTCCACTTACTCTACCAGTCTCCCTACAACCCCCATGACATCCTCCCAAGTTTTGTTCCTCCTTGGGTCACGAATGGCCCATCTGAATTCATCACTACTATGTCACCCTCTTAATCCAGGTACTTGCTCAGTATTGGGTCACTGCCCTCCGATTTTTATGAATGCATTTATTGCTTAAATATGTTGTGAAGATTTTAAACAAGGGTGATAAGACAGTCAGATCTGCATTTTTATAACTCATTTTCCTATCTCAAATTGTATAATGTGTAAGCAGAACAGTTTTGCTCACACATGCAGGAATAGCACTTTGGCTTTTCCATGACTGAAAAGCAGCATGCCAGTAAGAATACAGTACAAGACTGCGATTCAATTAGGGAAGGGGGTCTGCAGGTTTTTGTTAAGCTAAAAGCAAGAAGCCTCTGAAGAGCGCAGGCAGTCCCACTGAGAGCTAACTTAGTGTATGCAGAGAGCCACCTGGGTAGGACCAGTGAGGGGCACTGGACTTTGCAGAGCTGGGAAGGCTCACCCTGCCTTCATCCTGCCTGCATGCTGTGTCCTGGGGAAGAAAGGCAAACATATGAAAAACACCCTGTGGTCAGCACAACAACAGAAATATAGGCAGGCACCCAGGGAGCATAAGATTAACTCTGGGGCAATCCCAGAAACTTTTCTGGGACAGAAGCAACCTAAGCTGGATTTTTGATGAACAGGAAGCCACCAGGGAGACATAGATTGAGAAAAGGCACTCTGGAAAGAGGGAACAATATAAGGCTCAGAGGACTGTCTGGGAAACTACAAGCACTTTGATGTTCTGGAGAATCAGAGGTTTGATAGAACTTTTGTGGGTTATATATAATATCGCAGTGGCGTTTTTCCTCTCTAATTCATGTATTCACTAAAACCATTCACTGTCCATTTAAATTGAAAGGCAAGACATCAAAGGGGAATCAAAACAACATATTTAAGAAATAAACACTAACGACACCATGGAAGAATGTACTCAGTCCTGTCTCTTGACTCCATACTTTTGGCGAAGGGGATGCTAACAGATGTGACACAAGTGGAGGGTAGAATGTGCCTGCATTTCTGTACTTGTGCTCTGCAGACGCCAGGAGAACATACCCAGGCTAGCCCGCTGGTGCCAGGGGAAGGATGAGAGACATGAGGAGCAGGGCCACCAGCCTAGATCAATTGACCCCAAGCTCATCCCACAGACTTGTGAGCTAAATAATGCCTGTTGACGTATGCTGCTGAGACTTTTGTAGCTGGATACTAAAATTGGGTATGTTCATATAATTGAAGACTCTACATCAGCAGTATGGATATAGCTCACAAACACAATGTTGAACAACGGAAGCCAGACACCAAAGAGTGGAGTGTATGTTTCCAATTACGTCAAGTTCGTAAACAGGACACATCTATGGATGGTGTTAGAATACTGAAGTAAGGGTAGTGACTGAAAGAAGCATGGGAACTTCTGGGGTTCTAGGAAGATGCCATTTCTGTAATTTACATACTGGCTACACAGGTGTGTTCCTTTTGTGACACTTAACCAAGCTGCATACCGTATTTGCCGGCGTATAAGACGATTTTTTGGCCCTGAAAAATATGCCTCCAAGTGGGGGGTCGTCTTATACGCCAGGTACACTTCAGATAGACTGCCCATAGTGCTTGCCCCGTGCCATAGTGGCCTCCCGATGCCCGCCCACTTCATTCCACATACCGTTCAGGCATCAGCAGCGCTGCTGGGTGTATGCTCGGCTGTTGTGCGATTTTGCTGTTATGCGATTTTACCACACTCGCAAAATCGCACACAGCCGACCATATAACAAACTCTGTATTTTGAGTGGAAATGTTAGGGGGTCGTCTTATACGCCGAGTCGTCTTATACGCCGGCAAATACGGTACTTCTGGTTTTTGTACTTTTCTGTACACATTATCTAATAAAAAAGTTTACATAGCATTTGTTCAAAAAAACAAAAACAAAAACTTACTGAGGTATGGTGACACAGAAGGGCAATTGTCAAGATCTGGTTTTTTCACAGACGCTTCATCAGTCAGAGTTTCTTTCTTTCCCAAAACTATGACCTTATTGAAATTAGCAATGAAATCTTGGGCTTTAGGGATCTCTTGAAGAGCACCCACAAAATAGTTACTGGTGGCCCACCCGACCACTGTCAGGCATAAAGTAAACAGCAACAGTAACCGGAATTTGTAGGATAGGTAGAAAGTCATGTGGAAGCCCATGTCTTTCGTTATGTGAGCAAAATGGACCGCTCTGCCTCACTGCAGGCAGAAGACTTCAAGTCCAGCTTTTCCAATCTGATTGCAAACTCGATGACAACCCTTCAGTTCCAAGGTCTGCTTTTGCTCAGTAGTTCCGCTCCAACAATCTCTAGAAGGCAATCACAAAGACATGTTTCAAATGGAAATCCGATCCCAAAATGATTCCCGTCAGCACAAACTGAAAACCTATCCCCAGCGGATCTTGACTAACAGTAACGGAAGTTCTACTAGGGTCGAGAGATCAGAAACTCAGAGATTTTAAAGGTAGAAGATTCTGCGCATGTATACATCACAGGAGTTCTCTCTGGGTTATCACCCAGGCTCTCTGTCACCTGGAGAAAAGCCATGTTCAGCTATTACACGGGAGGAGGAGGCAAAGAAGAGTCTGTAAACCCCTCCTCCATTCTGAGTGGGCACAGCCTAAAATACAGCCTTAACTGCCCTTTCCTGGCACAGCATCAAGAGAAGGTTAACAACATGTGAAATCTTGTTACAAAGAGCATTGTGACCCAAAGAGAAAATGCAGGAAAAGACAAAAGCTCTTTTCTGTGAGAGCTAGAAAAACATGTTCCTCAACAACAAGGAATGAAAAATGAAGAATTTTTTTCTAAATTTTTTTCACAACAAGGCAATAATAAGGGGTACATCCCATCAAGTAGGGGAGAGGACAAGAAACACAAGAGAATGCCAACACAGGAGGTCACTCCTCTGTAAGAATAGCAGAGCTACAGCAGTGTTTAAGGTCAGGGGTTTTGATTTAGACAGAAACTATAGTTCCACCATATATCGGCCATGAAACCTCAAACCAATCGCTTCAATGAGCCTTGGTCTCCTTATCTGTAAAATGGGGATAAAGACACTACCTGCCCAGCGAGGTTACTGCTGGACTGGATGTCCTAATGTATTCATGTATCAAGCGTCAGCGCATCTCCTAATGCACAGTAAGCAGCCACTAAGTGGTGACCATCAATGTTGATATTGTTATATTACTTTACTTTAACTCTAGACTAGGAATGACCAACAGGCAGACACACTGGTGGCTGCCAGAACCACTACTCTTTTGTACTATATGTCTCACCGTCAGTTGATGAATCGCCAATCTGATTCCATACTTGAGTATGAATTCACCTCTGAGAGGTGCCTATGCTCTTAGTTATTAACAAAATTCCAGTTGCTGAGGGCCCATCCGGATCATGGTGAGTACACTAAGGGATAAAAGCCACTTGGGGAGTAGCAATAACCCGCACATCCTCTCCGTATTGCCAAAACGTCATCTCTCCTCAAATTCTAAACGTGTTATCAGAAGAGTACAGAAATGTTTAACAGAAATGTTAAAACTGATCATCTCTATAGCCAAACATATCTTCAATTAAATGGATAGAATGGAAACCAAAGTATTTTCTGTGCCAAGTGATAACACAAAAACACTTATGATCAAATCTTAAGTAATAAAAAGAAAAACAGAAAATAAACACTATATTTGTATACGATTACCACTAAAACCACAGACATAAGAAAACTCTAGAAAGAAATATAGGCATAAGCTAGCAATAATTGTATCAGGAGTATGGGATTAGCCAGGGGTGCTATCTCTTTTCTTTTGGAATTTTGTATAATAGACCTTTGCCCTTTTATAATAAAAACAAAGTTGTTTTGGTTTTTTTTTTTTTAATGAGATTTAGGGATGTGGTAATTTACTATGAAAACAAAATAATCTTAACAACTTTCAAGATAGCCTCATACTTACTGAAGGGTAATATACCAAAAACTTAGCTTTAGGTTAGTCTGAGGGAAACTTAGAAAGCATTTCTCTCTAGACACAATGTTATAAACTGAATGTTAAGTTCAGTTTATAACATTAGGTTCAAGAGAGATCTCCTGCCCAGCCTGCTTTATCAGTTAAGTGATTGAAGGCAGCCCCTCTAGGCATGCTTCCCCAGGTAGAAAACAATAAAAAATAAAAATAATAAATCCAAATAAATAAATTAAATAAATAAATAAATAAATCACAAAAGGAAAAATTTGACTCAGGAAGCAAATAAACAGTATGACCTATATTTAGTCTTACGAGAAATTGATGCCAGAGGCAGTTATAACAGTTCATTAGAAGACCGATTTATTTGCGCATTTACTCTGTGCCATGCACCGGGGTTAAATCACTTATATTGCCTTAATTCACATTTCAACCTTGTGTGGTAAAAATTATTAGTCTCCTCATTTTATAGAGGAGAAATGAAGATTCAGAGAAATTAAAGAACTTAACCAAGACGACACAACTAGTTAAATGGTGAAGCGGGGGCCTGAGCCCATGTGGTCAGCTCCAAAGCTTGGGCTTTTGCCACGTCTTTCACATGGACATCTCACTCCCTTTCCTCCCCGTGGTACCTGGACGCGCCCAACACAAACCTTTGAAATATGCTGAGTTTTCTTTGGCAACCTTCTCTCCTGTATCTTCCTCCCTTCCCTCCTGTTCAAATGGCTTCCTGGAGGCCTGTTCTCTTATCCTCCAGGTAAGATTAACTCTAGGTTCCTGGGGCCAGACAATCTCTTGCGGACTTCACTGCAGGAAGTTTAAATGCTAGGATTGGCAATAGTTTTTGATTAAAAAAAAAAAAATCTCCATCTTGGAAAACTTAGACTGGGAACATCGTTTTTTCTAAGAGCTCCTTATGGAGGGATAGTCCCCTCACAGGGAAACTCACCTGCCTTGAAGCGACTTCTGATCATAGAAGTATTACAGTGTTAGAAGCAGAAGGGACCAGAAAACACACACATCCGGTCCTCTCATTTTACAAAGGAAGTCTAAATAAGAGATTTAAAAACCTACCCAAGAAGTAGTGAGGTGGGAATAATCATAGACTAGCATTGTTGAACTGCAGCCCAAAGAATTGGTCCAAAAAATTTTACGATAAAAGCCAAGGAACCATTCTTTTTTTTTTAAAGATTTTTATTGGGGAATTGGGGGGGATGGGAACAGTGCTGGGG